GCCCAGGCCAGGCTCACACCCAACTGGGTACTGATCAGCAACTCTAACCGTCAGAAACCCATTGCTTATGCACTTCCTTGTGATGTGTTTCGGAGGGCGTAACCAGGTTCTTGCTTTTTGTTCAGCCCACGGGGCTGCGTTATTTAATTCTTTGGTTCTTCACGGGCCGAAGTCCGCGGCGGTGGCTGACTGGGACGGGCATGGATGTATGCGATACAGATCATCGACCAAAAACCGCAGAAGATTCTAATCTTTCGACGTTCTGTTACTACGATAGCTACCTTTTTATCGACGCCAATTAAGCTGTCATGTCGTGAAACGCGCGTAAAACTTCAAGATCGGGACAAGGATTAGATCTCTGGGCTGGCTGCCGAAGGGATGCAATTGATGAAATCATCATTTTTCATACTCCGAGTCAACGCTCGGTGGACCCTGCCACTGCACCGTCACCCTGGTGGACCCCCCACGTCAATCCAGACTCCATATCATTTTGAAGGATTGTCTTCAAAATCGATTTTTGGAGTGTGGTATCGAGACTAGCATAATCTGTATGTCGCGTCGTTCACGACGCGCGTTTCACTACATGACAGCTTAATTGGAGTCGATAAAAAGGTAGCTATCGTAGGATAACAGAACGTCGAAAGATTAGAATCTTCTGCGGTTTTTGGTCGATGATCTGTATCGCATACATCCATGCCCGTCCCAGTCAGCCACCGCCGCGGACTTCGGCCCGTGAAGAACCAAAGAATTAAATAACGCAGCCCCGTGGGCTGAACAAAAAGCAAGAACCTGGTTACGCCCTCCGAAACACATCACAAGGAAGTGCATAAGCAATGGGTTTCTGACGGTTAGAGTTGCTGATCAGTACCCAGTTGGGTGTGAGCCTGGCCTGGGCCTCTAACAAGGATAACTTTTTGTGCGGGTTCCATTATATTTTTTACGGATCCTGGAATGACTTCCAAGCTGCGACTAGGAACGGCGCGATAAACTTCTGGCGCTTCTTGTACTAGACTTATCATGGTATATTGAGCTCGGACAGTGTGATGATCAATGTGGCATATGGTGTGCCAGGACGCACACTGGCAGAGGACCTGTTTGGGCTGTGGGTGCCGAGGCGGGCAGGGATTTAAACAAGGCTGGGAGTGGGGTGTTTTACTTTGTTGTCGATGTTTTTTCAGACATTCCCTGCTGTTTATTATTGTGCGTTGGAGGCTTCGGAATCGCTGCGCTGTTTACTCAAGGTCCCAATGGAAAGCTCGTACAAAACATTTGTGTGATGAAGTGTTATTATTATTGCTCAGCCCCTGATTCGAACAGGCTCTCTGCTGGCGGATGCGACTTTCCACACCTCGCACAGTGTCTCCCATATGAATGCCAAACAGCGTGACATCCCACTACGCCACCAAGGCTGTCTACACATCTAGAGATTTCATGGCCACGTCGCGATAACCCACACCAAAGAACCTCGTCTACAGCAAAAAAAGAGTCGAAATACCATGGTTTCGAATGGAGATCCATAACCAGCGACCACCCATGCATTACCATGCAGGGAGGCTGCCCACCAAAAAATATCCTCCATCCGTGGACCATGGCTCATCCCTGAGTCGAACAGGGCTCTCCACCATCGAACTGAGCTTCGGAGGGGAGGGCGCGATATACCACTGCGCTGCTGAACCTTGCACATCCGAGCCGATGCTAGCCATTAGATTCAGATCACACCTGCACATCGACACGAAAAAGAAGGAAGATAAGTATGTGATGATTTCCGTGCGCACGGAGTAGTACGTACCCAAGGTTCACGCAGCAAAGGCGCACTCGGACCCGCTGTCAAGAAGGAACGAACCCACGCAGAACTCTAGTCCAAAGTCGGCGGGGTGAGCGAAAAGAAAAAACACTACTCGCAACACTATTATGGACAGTCGGCCCCTGAGTCGAACAGGGCTCCCCGCGGCGCAGCGTACTCTACTCAAGAGTGTTCGGGTTCAAGTTCTGCTGCGCTACCGGCCCCTTGTAAGTATCAAGGTTTCGTTGGAGGTTTCGGTAGGAATTCAGGAATCGGCAGAAAAAGGAATATCGCAAGAGACAGGCAGCGGTTATCAACGACTGATTGGCACGTTCCAGGATCGGGTACATGTCAGACTCTAGTACTTATCCCTCGCGGTGATCATCGTGCATCATGATTCGGGTTGACCTCTTTTCTCGAATTGGAGACGACCATTATACACTGGGTATGGGTGTATGGGTATCTGGTGGGTCCGAGATGGATGACTGTAATACAGGTGCAAGTTGTACCCTCGGAAACGTGAAACGATCTGCAGCTCACCACGGACCTCAGAACGGAGAACCGAAAATATATCCAAGCAACAGGCAGATGTTATTGGTCGGAGGGAGCGACTCCGACGTATAGCTGATGTAACCGGTACCGGTGTGCATGATAATGGATGGGTTGGTTCGGCGTGATGCGTCATCCGGGGTTCACAATGACATGGGAGCCGGGAGGCGATAACACAAGGATATCGATATTGTTGAGACCTCGGCTGCCTTGTGGATCTTCGGACAGCGGGCGTGCCAGCCGATGTGTCGCTGGTCGTCGTAGCGAGTCATAGCGGCCGCGGTGGACGATGGGTGACTGCATTCTAGTCTGGCCTCGCATGACAAGGTGTCATGAGAGTTAGACGACAGGTCAGCGGGATAAGTATAGTACCTCAGATACACTTACCTCTTGGGAACAACTTGAACCAAGTTCAAATACAATACATCAATAAATCTCACTTACAACAGCCCGGGGCGGACCAAAGGAGTGAGGAAGTTCTTCCATAGAGATGATAGAATGAAGCTGAAACGCATACGGCCACTGGCAGACGACGTAGTATATGACAAGTATGATATGATGAGTTTCATCGCAAGGGGATACGGAAAACCGGAAAAAAGAACACGTGGGAAGGTAGCGATTTGCGTCAATGACATTGATTCTGAATTCGCCAACATGTCCTATCCCGCATCGACCTCATAACGCACCCCGTCCTCCTCGCCGCCAAACTCGACTCATGGACTTTAGCCGCCGTTCATCTCCCCAGCCCTGATCGACTCCACCCCAAAGGCCCCACAGGTCACACCTCCATCCCCATCGCATCTTGATTCCTAGCGCCCACCCCCAACCCACCCCCAATGACGGAGTACGACTACTCCCCCGAGGCCTACGAGCGCTTCCTCGAGAGCCAGAACAAGATCGCCCGCTGGGTCAACACCACCAACCGCGTCTACCCCGACCTCCGCAACCCCTTCGACCCAGCCACACCCGCCCCCGACGTCTTCGTCGAGCTCCCTAATGGCCGATACCGCAATCTCGATTGGGGAACAGGCACATACCGGGAGAAGAAGGGGGAGAGGGAGAGAGATCCGTATTGGGGGAAGGAGAAGGAGAAGGAGCGGACGAGGCCTAGGACGCACCGGTCGGCGTCCCACTCGCAGGCCCGGCTGTATGGCGCTGGCGCTGGCGACGCACCTCCCCCACCAACTAGATCCTATACGACCCCTGCGCCTCCGCATACCCGCAGGGCCTCGTACGACTATTACCCCCCGGCGGAGAAGCACACACTGGCAGGCTCAAAGTACGATCTCGCCTCGGCCTCGCGGTACGACCTGAGCTCCAACGACGCCTCCGCGCCCCCCCGCCCCGCATACGCCATCTACGACTACAGCCGCCAGACCCAAACTCAACCCCACCTCCAGACCTCCCCCACCCGCCCCCAACCCCAACCTCAACCCCGCGCCTACCCCTCCGCCCCTCCCGTCCCACCACCACCACGGCAAAAGCCAACCCGCGCACAAACCCAGCCCCCGCCCCAGATCTACCTCCCCACCCCCGCCCCCGCCCCCGCATACACAAAGTACTACCCGCAACACCCCAACCCGAACGCAGACGCCTCCCAATACCCGCCCCCGCCCCACTCCGCCCCGGTGCAGGGCTCAGGATCATACCCGTACCCCGACCCCCGCCCGCGTCATAGCTACTCCCAGGGACAACACCACCCGGTTATACCGCCGCCGCCGACGGGGCAGGTTGTTAAGGTGCGTTTTCTTTTTTCCTTTCTTTTTCTTTTCTTTGGGGATGGGGGAGGTGGATATATGCTGATTGTGGACTTGGATTTGTAGCCGCCGCCGCTGTTGAAGCGCCTCTTTGGCCTGGGGAAGCAGGGGTCCTCGGGGACGTCGCCTGTGAGCCCTACGAGCTCAAAACCTCGGGGGTCCGTTGATTCTCAGCGCGACAGAGACAGGGATAGGGACAGGGATTGGGTGAGGGTGAGAGACAAGGATAGAGAGAGGGACAGGGAACGCCCGAAATCGAGCGGGAGTGTCTTACGGAAGAGCGAGCGGGAGAGGGAGAGGGAGCGGGAGAGAGAGAGGGAGAGGGAGAGGGGGCGGGGAGGGAGGAGTATGGGTATGAGCGGGGGCCTAGGAGGAGGAAGAGTCAGTGAGTGGTTCTGCTGGAGCTGCAGACGATGGGGAGGGGAGGCGGAGAGAGGAGGGGAGGGGAGGGGAACGGCGAGACCGGGTTTCCTCACCCTCCCTGCCGATGCTATTGGATACGCTATACGACTCACAACCCTACTCATAGTCATATTCATACCACCTGGAACGCAAGCGATACCATCACCCACCACACCGCTATACATATTCGATATACCGTTGCGTTACTTCCCTTCATGTTTTGTGTTTTGTTCCTTCGATTGTTTCGTTTTCTTTTACGTTTTACATTCTTATATTTCACGCACTTTAGGGTGTATTATTCTGCGAGCGCCCTCTTGGGTGTTTTGCACCTCGGGGGTGCGTACATACCGACCTACCTACTGTACCTACCTATCTATCTACGCAGGGAGGAGGCATGTAATCGGATTTTTCAGTGGAGGACTCGGGAGGGCCGGCATAAGTGACAAGTCTGATGCAGGAAAAAACTTGGAAGACTCTGGTACCGGCAAAAAGGTTTAACTCTTACACAGTGCCACGTACCCGGATTGAACGAGTGACCTTCTCATTGCAAGCATCATGATGGACATGTGTGGCATACAAGTGAGACGCGCTACCACTACGCCAACGCGGCATGGTTGGTGTGGAGGTGTGGGCTTCCTGGCTTGGCGCTGCGATTGGTGTGTACCTACCACTACCTGGTACCATCACTCTTTTGAGGCTTTGGATCCGACAAGCAGATCGACTATCACCATCTGGTTAAAGGTCAGCTACCTATACCGCAGACTACTCCCGACTTTCACAGTCGCCTTCGACTATCACCATCTGGTATAAGGTCAGCTACCTATACCGCAGACTACTCCCGATTTTCACAGTTGCCTTCGTTCGTAATTATAATGTCGTACCCTAGGCAAGTTCAACTTGGTTCTTGGCGAAATCTGTGCTGACTCTAACGAATCTTAGGCTTCATGTGAACTGGCCGCTGGGCCAGCGATTTGCTAACGATGAGTCGGGAATGGGGTGCAACAATCATGTTATTTTCTCGAGACATCACGCCCTCTGCAGCCGAGTCGCCGTCCTTCGGACTATCAATACAACGGGCGCTGCTGCCAGGCCCACTTGCAGTTGTGAGATCGATGATGCACGGTACGCGAAAAGGGTGCCACAAGGCCTAATATTGAGAAAACTCTTTGTGCCGAGCAACAAGTAATAAAACTAAAACAGTCCTAAGTTATGTCCGTCCACCATAATTAAAGGGAAACATCAACAAATGAATGACTCGAGGCGTCTACAGGGAAAGTGTGCTTCACTGATGAGGGGTACCTTGAAAGATCGTCAGGTTTGGGTGCGATGTTGAACTGGGGGGCACGTACCATGTCAGCGTCCAACTTAGGCCGGGGCAGTCGCGGGGTCGATGTTTGCACCGGTTGCGGGATCGATGTTTGAGCCGGCAGCAGCGGGAGCAGCTGAGGCGGCCGGAGCTGCGGCACTAGCAGCGGCGGGGGCAGCGGCGTCAGTGACAGCGGGGGCAGCGACATCAGAGGCGGCGGGGGCGACAACTTTGGCGTCGGCATCTGGGGTGACGGGGGCGACTGTGGAGGGGTCGAAAGACGACGAGCTGAAGGTCGGGTCCACGCTGGAGGGGGTGACGGAGGGGGTGAAGGAGGGGGTGAAGGATGAGCTGATCTCAGGGTGCAAGGAGACATATGCACCATGGGCCGCATTCCACGCGTTGCTGACCGACACCGGGGAGGAGAAGCTGTCCCAGTTGGAGCCGCTGACGACGGTGGTGTGGCTGCCGACGTCGTGTCCGGAGAAGCCCCAGTCGTCAAAGTTGAGCGAGCCATCGGAGTGGAGGAAGTTTCCGAAGTGGCTGACGATGTTGCTGTCGAAGCCGACGTGGTGGCCTGTGGAGCGTCGGAGGTCGTGGCCGAAACCACCGAGGGTGCTGTGGAACTGCTCGAAGACGATGGTCTGGGTCTCGACTTCGCAGATGGTCTCGGTGATGATCCTGGAACGATAAAGCGTCAGGATGCTTCTGATTATTCGGTGGGATGGAATGTTTACCTCTTAGCCATCTCCTGGAGAACAAGAAGACGCTGTTGGATGATCTGGATCTGATGAGTGTGGCAGACGAGGTGCTGCTCGTTGACGACGGTCTGGCTGAAGTGCTGGGAGCCATCGAAGTTGCCGACGCCGTAGAAGTTGTCGAAGCCATGAAGCGAAGAGAATCCACCCCAGTTGTCGAAAGAGCCGTGAACGTTGCGACGAGCTGTGAATTAACATTTGACCATCAGTAATAGGGCAGTTCGAATGGTGTATATGCGTACACATGTCAAGTCTGTTCTTGGGGATGGGCTTTGAGACCACACCAGCGGTCATGGTAGCAGCCAAGAGCAAAGAAGTGAAGATTTTGGAGAACATGATGGCGGATTTGAATAACGTCAAGTTAGGACTGGTGCACTGGACACGAGGTGAGCCTGTCATCCAGTAAGTATCCTGGATGGAGACTTACCAAAGAGTTAAAGAAGGAGCGAAGGAGGCTACCTGGCCAAAAAGCAGAAGAAAGCGAAGGAAGTTGAAGAACGAACTGAAGAAACCTAGACGAAGCACGGGCTATTTTATAGGATGGACGTGAAGGCTGTGACAAATATAGAGCAGATGCATCAGTACGAATGAATCACCGATAAAGGCGCTCGACGCTCGACGCTGAACGTCACCACTTAGTTGATGGATCGCCGTTGTTACCAACTGCCACCAACAGCCACTAGCCTCGCTTCGATGCTGCAGATCGAGATATCCGAGGTTTACCTAGTTCCCACCCTGCCTCATCTATTGAGTCGAGCTGGGTTCCGATTACACCAAGCAAGATGTGTCCAATGACTATTATACGCGTCTCACCCTCTAGACTCACTGAAGCCGGAGACTCGGATCACGAAAATCGAAAAGAAGGGTCCCATTTTCAGCTCCACGTCCATGATGCATTCGATGCTGAGCTGTCGGAAATGCTTGTCAATGGGTACAGAAAGCAATCAAGCCTGCCAAGGACTTCGAGGGAAGAAGAAGTTACTGTGTGGGCGTGCTGTATTCTCGTCAACACCGTTTGTGTCGGAGACGCGGAACCACGGGTTCATGATTGACAGATCTAATCTAAATCTTATCTTCATTCAACGATCAGCTGGCAACTTCGCAACTCTTTCATCCAAACTTTCATCATCCTCCGTGTTTCAAGTCCTATATCTGGTGCCAAATCTCTCAGTGAATACATTGCGCCACGAGGTATGAACCTGCGATATTTATATGGTGACATAGAACGTGCGTCTTGCCGCCTGTCTTTTGAGCTCACAGACAGCCCATTCATGTATACCAGAACACCTTGACTTCGCCAGCGCTGATTCTGCACATGTTGATACATTGAAATCAACTCGTTTCTGAAAATCGGACGGTACGACCGGATAAAGCTAGTCATTACTCAAACTGACTTCGGCCCACTTAGATCAGTCACCCACCACTGACGTGCCTCTATCAAGACGGGCGGATCGCCCTGTCATCGCCTGCCTTTGCTCTTTTAAGGTCTAACTGTTGCCTCCCACGCCCATTCTACCTCGAGAACTCATTGCATCGCGCATCCTGCATATCAATCCATCCCTCGATACTCGTTTGACAGCTCGTTTCAGCCTTGAGTTTGGCATGGATGACGTTCGGCGGCTGCTTCTCGACCCTCTGTGCTGGGACTTGGGCTTCAAGCAGTCGTCTGAAGCACTGCAGCAATGCAATCTGCTGGAAGATCGGCTCCTCCCGTCGGAGTCCGACGAGCCATCGCGAGGAAATGGATGTTCAACTCAATTCATTCCCTGCTTCCCATGTCCTCGACAGCGATTACCCACCCAGGCTATCGTTTTGGGATTTGTGACGGTAGAAAGCCACCAAGAGTGCATTTTGCGGGGAACTTCGCCCGTCCTGCGCGGCACCCTGGCCACCATAATACTGCTTATGGGAACGCAACGTAGGCTATGCGTCCGTCCTTCACTGAAACAGCATGCTTCGACTCGCCTTTCTCTCCTTCCTCGCATCGTCAGGCGTCCTGGCTGACCGTCAATATTTCATCGAGAACAAATGTCCTGCTCGAATAACGCTCTTCATCAACGGTGTGGCAGAAGCGTCTCTACCTGCGACAGGAGGCGCGATCCAGAAAACGTTTGCCAACCTTTGGAATGGGTTCATTTATATCGATGCTAATGGCGGAAACCAGAATGGTACCGGGACGACGAGGGCCGAGTTCTACGATGACGTGAATTTCTCCCTTAGCGCGTCTATATCTTAAGCGCTGGCTGACTGTTTTGCTGTAGGATGGCTACTAATACATGGTGCATCGACCCCGCGTACTTCAACGCGGCGTCAAAATAACACCCTTGGGCCGAACACCCGTGCGTCTCCCCCTTCCCTAAGCAACCATCTACAGTTTCGCCTTGCTGACATATGGTGATAGAGCGGAAAATTCTGCATCTACATCTTCCAGATCGTGCATGGGCTTCAAGACCATCGAGAGTGGATCGTCTATGGATATTTGCTGGCACCAGATTTACTTGCGAAGGGCTTTGCAGGAGTATTACGCAATTTGGACTTCCAGTTACTTCGTTTTTTCGAGTTAAATGTTATACATGGTATGCATCAAATTCACTGCGTCCTACCACTGGAGTTTTGCGGCCGAAAGAGACAATGCTAATCGAAGTGAGTGTAGGCACATATCGGGTATGCTGAATTTTCCCCCTGATTTTGGTGCACCCTGTGTCTCAGAAGCTGAGACCAAGCGTGACAGCTTCTCCTATCTCACCAATAACCATTGGCAGCCCTCCGTCGAGGCGCGAACGACCATGCATGCTACGAAATCCCACATCAGTTCCAATACGCCCAATTCGACAGAATCAGATACTCTAGCCATCAACCAAGGCCCCGGGTCCAGCGATTTCGCCGTCCTGAATGCTGCCCATCCACATAGCCGAGCAAGGATTTCTGCTTCATCTGCAAAAGAAAGACTCTTGTGGAAACGACGCCATAACGAGCTGAGCCTCGTGTCTCGCCTTCCCCCTGAAGTCCTCTTAATCGTCTTCGAATACGTTGTCGACTTGTTGTCACCTCAGTACTCCTCCAATAAACGCCTGGAATGGATCTGTCAGATGTCTCACATATGCTCAAGCTGGCGTCGCCTTGCATTGGACTGTCCAAGACTCTGGACTTCTATTCCATTCTTTGCTCCAGATTGGGCGCAGGAAATGTTGGCGCGCTCAAGGACGGCCCCTTTAACAATTGTGGTCGGGTCCCGTAGTAAATTCGTCAAACCTGCTTTAAAGCAGTTATCTCGCATCAAAAAACTTTCGCTCTTCTGCATCCAAAGTTACTATAGTCACGACGAATCCACCTACACCGACCTCCTCGCTTCTCCTGCACCCCTCTTGGAAAGTTGTGAGATCACCTTCAGGATGCGCAGCAACAGGAACGAACTGCCAAAAAATATATTCTCTGGGAAGGCGCCGAGATTGGCTCATCTCAGTATTTCGCAATGTGGTTTAAACTGGCGAGCACCTATCTTCACCAACCTCATTTCACTTGAAATCAATTCATCGTTGGACAAAA